ATGTGGTGAATTACGTTTATAGACTTGCCTATGTTGAACCAGCCTTGCATCCCCGGGATGAATCCTACTTGATCATGGTGGATAAAGTTTTAGATGTGCTGTTGCAATTGGCTTGCCAGTATTTTATTGAAGATTTTTGTGTCTGTGTTCATCATGGATATTGGCCTGAAGTTTAGTTTTCTTGTTGAGTCTCTGCCGGGTTTTGGTATCAGGATGATGTTGGTCTCATAAAATGATTTGGGAAGGATTCCCTCTTTTTGGATTATTTGGAATAGTTTCAGAAGGAATGGTACCAGCCCCTCTTTTTGTATCTGGTAGAATTCGGCTGTGAACCCATCTGGACCTGGGCTTTTTTTTGTGTGGTAGGCTCTTAATTGCTGCCTCGATTTCAGACCTTGTTATTGGTCTATTCATAGTTTCAGCTTCCTCCTGGTTTAGGCTTGGGAGGACACAGGAGTCCAGGAATTTATCCATTTCTTTCAGGTTTACTAGTTTATGTGCTTAGAGTTGTTTGTAATATTCTCTGATGATGGGTTGAATTTCTGAGGAATCTGTGATGATTTCCCCTTTATCTTTCTTTATTGCATCTATTTGGTTGTTCTCTCTTTTCTTTTTTATCAGTCTGGCTAGTGGTCTGTCTATTTTGTTGATCTTTTCAGAAAACCAGCTCTTGGATTTATTGATTTTTTTGAAGGGTTTTTTGTGTCTCTATCTCCTTCAGTTCTGCTCTGATCTTTGTTATTTCTTGTCTTCTGCTAGGTTTTGAGTTTTTTTGATCTTGCTCCTCTAGCTCTTTCTATTTTGACGTTAGGGTGTCAATTTTGGATCTCTCCACTCTTCTCATGTGGGCACTTATTGCTATATATTTTCCTCTAGAGACTGCTTTAAATGTGTCCCAGAGATTCTGGTATGTTGTGTCTTCGTTCTTGTTGGTTTCGAAGAACTTCTTTATTTCTGCCTTCATTTCATTGTTTATCCAGTCAACATTCAAGAGCCAGTTGTTCAGTTTCCATGAAGCTGTGCAGTTCTGAGTTAGTTTCTGAATTCTGAGTTCTAACTTGATTGCACTATGGTCTGAGAGACTGTTTGTTATGATTTCAGTTGTTTTGCATTTGCTGAGGAGTGATTTACTTCCAATTATGTGGTCAATTTTAGAGTAGGTATGATGTGGTGTTGAGAAGAATGTGTATTCTGTGGATTTGGGGTGGAGAGTTCTGTAAATGTCTATCAGGTTTGCTTGTTCCAGGTCTGAGTTCAAGCCCTGGATATCCTTGTTAATTTTCTGTCAGGTTGATCTGTCTAATATTGACAGTGGAGTGTTAAAGTCTCCCACTATTATTGTGTGGGAGTGTAAGTCTCTTTGTAAGTCATTAAGAACTTTCCTTATATATCTGAGTGCTCCTGTATTGGGTCCATATATGTTTAGGATCGTTAGCTCTTCTTGTTGTATCGATCCTTTTACCATTATGTAATGTCCTTCTTCGTCTCTTTTGTTCTTTGTTGCTTTAAAGTCTATTTTATCAGAGACGAGAATTGCAACTCTTGCTTTTGTTGCTCTCCATTTGCTTGGTAAATCTTCCTCCATCCCTTTATTTTCAGCCTTTGTGTATCCTTGCATGTGAGATGGGTTTCCTGGATTTTATAGGAAGCAAAACTTTTCTTTCCACTCATTGCAATTTCTAACCTGCCAAATGAGCTGTGGCAAGAAATTTTTTAAAGTGTGTTTTCAAAATTTTAAATATCTGATATATTTTAAAGAAGGTAAGAATAAAATTATTCAGTGGTTATGTTATACTATAAGACTTATAAAAGTATTTTACTGATGTTAAAAGTTTTCTCTTGATATTATATGATTCTATTTATACAAAATGTCAGAAAAGAACAGTGCATAGAAACAGAACGTACGCCCTAATGGGCTGTGGATAGGAATGAGGATTAATTGTAAATCGGTATTAGGGTTTTCACTGGGGTAATGAAAATATTCTAAAGCTGGATTGTGGTGGTGGTTGTACAACATGATAAACTTATGGTGTGCAAAATTAGACCTTCATAAAGTTGATTTAAAAACTTTTTCTTGGAAATATAGCTGTAAATTATATATTTAGTACTGTTTTAATCAATCTTACTTGAAGTCATATTTAAAAATATTTTACAGTACAGTATTTATTTTGCTAATTTTTTTTTTTTAAATACCTTAGGCATCCCAGCTCTTTTTATCACACTAGGAATTATACATCTTGGACCCGTTTCTCCAGCAAATCCACACCTGCAAATAAATGAAAAATTCAAACAACTTATAGTATTCTTTTAAAAAAAATCACTGCACAATACTAATAAGTTAATATTATTTATTAATGCTTGTGTGTTAACAGAAAAAAACTATATCAAATTTGTGATACTGAAAAAAAGCTAATGTATTACTTTAGGGGCAGCATTTACTTTGTTCTTAGCTATTAATTTTAGCAGAATTAACAACTACATTATCTACAACCCTGAATCTGTACTACATGACTTCATTCATACAATTGACGTGTCACTCATAATTCCATCATTCTAATATTATTAGCTTCCATATTAGTATGTTTGCTTTCAGTGTACTTCTTAAAATTATGCATACATATTTGACAGTTATAATCACACTTCATACATAATTAACTTATACAGTAAGTTTCTACCCATATTAACATAATCTTCATTACCATCATTTTTATGTTTTTTTTGATGCAGGATCTCACTCTGTCACCCAGGCTGAAGTGTAGTAGTGCAATCACAGCTCACTGCAGTGTCAACCAGACAAGCTCAAGTGATCCTACCACTTCAGCCTACAAGTAGCTAGGACAACAGGCACCTAGTGACATGCCAGACTGGATCTCACTATGTTGCCCGAACTGGTCTCAAGCTCATGGGTTCAAGCGATCCTCCTACTTCGACCTTACAAAGTGTTGGGATTTCAGGTGTTAGCCACTGTGCAAGCACAACTGGACTGTTGGACTGCTATCATACTTTGTCCTTTTTTTTTGGAGACAGGGTATAACTCTGTTACCCAGGCTGGAGTCCAGTGGCACAACCTTAGCTCACTGCAGCCTTTGCCTCCCAGGCTCAAGCAGTCCTCCCACCTTGGCATCCCAAAATCCTAGGATTTTAGGCATGCCACTATGGCTGGCTAAGTTTTGCATTTTTTGTAGAGCAGTGTTTCCCCATGTTGCCCAGGCTGGTCTTGAACTCCTGGGCTCAAGTGATCGGCCCACCTTAGCTTTCCAAAGTGCTGGGAATACAGTATCATTTTTAAAACTGCATATTTCATTATTTTTAAAAAGTATACTTTCTTTCTTATTTAGCTATTTCCACTTTTTGTTTCATATTAGTAAAACATCCCATCTTCCTGTCCTGTCTAGTTTTTGGCACTGCTCTCCTCGCATTTCCAAATAATTCTCTCCATCTCCTGCTATTCCTGTCTCCATGTGTACTTGCACCAGTGTTCCTCAAACATCTCAAAATGCAACCCATTAAACTTCAATTCCTTTCTTTTACTTCATATATTTATCTTATCATCCTCCTGCTCTTTTTCAAAAATAGCTTTTTATTTATTCAAAGTACAGCCAAAATAATTATCTTTGAGTAGAAGCCTCAAATTATTTATTATGCTTTCAAAATAATTTTACAAATAAGAAAACACAAATTAATAAGAGAGGGCCTTGCATAGAAAAACGTGAGAATGTCATTAACCAAGGACTAGGTTTAATCCAATTCTGGAGCTCCTGAGGTCCAATTTTTAAATAGGTTTTTTTAAACCACTTAGTCAATAAATAGTTATTAAATACCTCCTATACGTCAGGAAGTGCCTAGAGATACAAAAAGATTTTTCAAATGTTTTCCTTCTCAGAAATACATATATGATGTAATTGCCTGTGAGTTCCCTCTCTGTTGAGCCCATCACAAGGACTCTTAAGCTGGGGTCCCAGGACCACAATGATTGTCTGCCAATCCCCTGAAACTGTGTGTAAATATCTTAAGGTTTGTGCATTTGTGGTTTTCGTCTAACCATTAGAAGAGATCCATGCCATCCAAAAGGTTGAGAACCTCCTCACTAGTGTTTACAAGTTGCCTTTTTAAAAACATGTTAAATCTAACCTTAGAGTTTGGCGGGGAGGGGGGCTACCTATAGAGCTTCACCTCATAATATGCCCAATCTTCCTAATTCTTGAGGAGCGATAGCCCGGTCTTAAACATCTTTGCATTTCCAGCACCCAAAGAAGCTCCGTTAAATAAATATTTTATGATGAAATTCGTCATCGAGTATTTACATTTGGTTGGCTGCCTTCCTCATCTGATGAGCCCAGAGTAAGCGGGGTCTAGGTCACTGCTGTCATCCCCTACATAGATGATCCCAAAGGGTTTGGGGTGATGACAAGGGGCGGCGACGCGGGCAATTCAACTGAAGCTTCCTGGACCTCTCTGGGAGTCAGACCCCGATCCTCGGATTCGCATCGCCCAGGGAGGAAATAAGGGTTGGCTGAAGAAAGAAGGAGGCCCCGAGCTGCTCAGCGAGTCCACGATGAGGACCAGGCGGCAATGCCTGGGGCTCGCCCACCCGCCCTCCCCCGGGCCAAACGCAGACGGCGTAACGGCCACTCACTTGGTAAAGGCCTCTCCCAGGTCGATCACGACGGCCGTTTTCTCCCCGCCACTCCCCAGGCCCTCGTAAAGCGGCATGGTGGTAATGAAGACTGGGAAAACTGGGTCGCAGACTCTGTGGCCAACAAGCCTCGGCGCTCGGGGGGCGGGGCCGGGGCTCAGGCGCTGGGGCGGCGGCGACGGCGGGGGCCTCGCGGGGCCGCGGCGCACCAGGCCCGGGCTGTCCCAGGCTGTGCCTCATTCCGGGTTGAACCCAAACCCTTGCAGGTGGTCCCGTCTCCAGAACTAGCGGGAAAGAGGCGCTAGCGGCCCTGAATCCGAGTGTGGGGGTGCGGAGGTCGCAGCGATCAGGCGCGCCGGGCGCCCCGAGAGGGCGGAGCCGGCCTCCCGGTCCTTCCCGCCCACCACGCTCCCAAGCGGCACCCAAGAGCTGCTGTGAAGAGGTGCCCGAGGACCTGGCTACGCTGGGGCAGCTGAGAGACGACGGAAGCTGAGATTCACGCTCTCGGGGGGGTAAAAGATGCTGAGCCCCTATTCTGTGCTAGGTATTTTACCTATCATTTAATCTTTTAAAGAAATACCAAGAATAGGCCGGGCGCGGTGGCTCACGCCTGTAATTCCAGCACTTTGGGAAGCCGAGGCGGGTGGATCACCAGGTCAGAAGATCGAGACCATCCTGGCCAACATGGTGAAACCCCGTCTCTGATAAAAATACAGAAATTAGCTGGGCCTGGTGGTGCGTGCCTATAATCCCAGCTACTCGGGAGGCTGAGGCAGGAGAATCTCCTGAACCCGGGAGGCGGAGGTTGCAGTTAGCCGAGATCAGGGCTCTGCACTCCAGCGTGGTGACAGAGCGAGACTACGTCTCAAAAACAAAAACAAAAAAAACAAGTATAGTGTTTTCTTATCTGTCGGGACCGACGCTCAGAGAGATGAACATTCCCAGTGTCTACGGCAGAGCCAGGAACAGACCCACAGCCTTCCTAATTGCAAAGCCTGTACTAATGATGTTTTAGAGAATAATGCGTACGGACAATGCTTTAGTTAGTAGTCATTCTGAAAGTTTTAATTTTACTCCAGAATTAAGCAGCTAAAGTAGCATCTATGAATCTTGAATCTCTCTATGGAGAAGCAGTCAGGATGGTTTAATAGAAGGAACATCGAAGCAAAGGCTCCTGCCTATTAGGTTAGTGCAAAAGTAGTTGCTGTTTTTGCCATTACTTTTAACATTTACGTTACTGTTTACATCTTTGTCACTTAACAGCTTTCTGTGAAAATATTTTTTCTGCAGATATTAACTCTATCTATGGAAGTGGAAAATATTGTTAAAGGAGAGACTGTATAATAAGAAAAGAGTTTCAAAGGTAGATTGGTGAGGAACAGCAACATTTAGCTGGAGTACTGAGTTGAATGATGTCCCCCCAAAATGCTTGTCCGCCGGGAACCTCAGAATGTGACCTTATTTGGAAATAGAGCCTTTGCAGATGTAATCAAGTTAAGATGAGGTTATACTGTATTAAGATGGGCCCAACTGTCCGAGCGCAGTGGCTCATACCAGTAATCCCAGCACTTTGGGAGGCAGAAGAGGGAGGATCCCTTGAGCCAGGAAGTCTAAGGCTGCAGAGAGTTGGGATTGTGCCGCTGCCACTGCACTCCAGGCTGGACAACAACAGAGTGAGAGCCTGTCTTTCACAAAAAAAAAAGGCACCAATCAAATGGTTGGTAACAAGAATTAGTGTGGTAGCTCGGGATAAGCTATTTCCATAACAAAAACTAAGGCTGTAACAATGCAGAAATTTGGAATGTGATGTTAGTAAAATTTATGTTCAAGTCCAAATTACTGATCAATGATCTTTGAAAGCAAATTGCTGGAAGATGAGGAGGAAGTTGGAATTGTGATGGGGAAGTAAACTTTAAGAAATGTGGGAAGAGATTAAATTTTTTGCTGAATTCAGAATATTTGAATAGGACCCCTCACTTGGGTTCAGATTCTGTTTCTGCCACTTTCTGTCAAGTCCCCAATACTTATGATCATCCACTTCCTTATCTGTAAACTGTTCTGCTGCTTCACAAGGTATTTGTAAGGATCACTTTGAAATTATGTTTCTGAAACTATTGAAATGATAAAGTGTTGTTATTACCCATTCTGTATTTTCACAGCTCACCAGCTGTGTTTGTTTCCTAGGGACTGCTGTAACAAAGTACTATAAACGGTGGTTTAAGGCAACAAAAAATTTATTCTTTCACACATCTGGAGGTGAGAAGTCAGAAATCAAGGTGTCAGCAAGAGCAAGGTCATGCTCTCTTTGAAGGCTTTAGAGGAGGATGCTTTCTTGTCTTCTTTTTTTTTTTTTTTGAGATGGAGTCTCGCTGTCACCCAGGCTGGAGTGCAGTGGTGCCATCTTGGCTCACTGCAGCCTCTGCCTCCCGGGTTCAGGTGATTCTCCTGCCTCAGCCTCCAGAGCAGCTGGTAATATAGGTGCCCACCACGATGCGCAGCTAATGTTTATTTTTTATTTTTTAAATTTTTAGTAGAGATGGGGTTTCACCATGTTGGCCAGGCTGGTCTCAAACTACAAACTTCAGGTGATCCACCCGCCTCAGCCTCCCAAAATGCTGAGATTATAGGTGTAAGCTACAGTGCTTGGCCTTTTTTTTTTTTTTAAATAGAGTCTTGCTCTGTCATCCAGGCTGGAACCCAGTGGTGCAGTCTTGGCTCTCTGCACTCCAGACTGGGCTCAAGAGATTCTCCTGCCTCACCCTCCCAAGTAGCTGTGACTGCAGGCACATGCCACCTCGCCTGGCTAATTTTTGTATTTTTTGTAAAGACAGGTTTTACCTTGTTGCCCAGGCTGGTCTTGAACTACTGAACTCCGGTGATCTGCGAGCCTCAGCCTCCCAAAGTGCTCGGATTACAGTGTGAGCCACGGTGCCCAGCCTTCTTTCTTGCCTTTTTCTAGCTACTGGTGGTTGCAGGCAATCCTTGATGTTCCTTTGCTTTTAGATACATCACTGCAGTCTCTGCCTCTGTCATCACCTGGCCTTCTTCCCTGTATCTTTGCATTTTTTACATTATGTTCTCCTCCCTGTGTCTTCACTTCAGTTTCCTTCTGTGTGTGTCTCTATGTCCAGATTTCCCTCTTCTTTTTTCTTATTTTTAAAATCTGTATCTTACTGACCAAATTTCCCTCTTATTTTTGAGACGGGGTTTCACCATATTGGCCAGGATGGTCTCGAATGCCTAACCTCAGGTGATCTGCCCTCCTTGGCCTCCCAAAGTGCTGGAATTACAGGTGTGAGCCACTGTGCTCAGCCTTGTGTTTTTTTTTTTTTCCTGAGACAGATTTTTGCTCTTGTTGCCCAGGCTGGAGTGCAATGGCACAATCTCAGCTCACTGTAACCTCTGCCTCCCAGGTTCAAGCAATTCTCCTGCTTCAGCCTCCCGAGTAGCTGGGATTACAGGCACCCACCACCATGCCTGGCTAATATTTTTTATTTTTTTTATTTTTTTTTTAATATTTTGTATTTTTAATAGAGATGCGGTTTTGCCATGTTGGCCAGGTAGGTCTCGAACTCCTGACCTCAAGTGAACTGCCCACCTTGGCATCTCAAAGTGCTGGGATTACAGGCATGAGCCACCACACCTGGCTAATTTTTTGTATTTTTAGTAGAGACAGGGTTTCTCCATGTTGGTGAGACTGGTCTCAAACTCCCACCCTCAGGTGATCCACCTGCCTGGGTCTCTCAAAGTGCTGGGATTACAGGCATGAGCCACCATGCCTGGCGTCAAGCTGGAGTGCAGTGGCACAATCACCGCTCACTTCAACCTCCACCTCCCTGGTTCAAGCAATTCTCCAGCCTCAGCCCCCTGAGTAGCTGGGATTACAGACATGCACCACTATGGCTGGATAATTTTTTGTATTTTTAGTATAGACAGGGTTCACCTTGTTGGCCAGGCTAGTCTCGAACTCCTGACCTCAGGTGATCCACCCGCTTCTGCCTCTCAAAGTGCTAGGATTACAGGCCTAAGCCACCACACCCAGCTTGTCTACTAATTCTATCACCCGTGCCCTTTCTGGGTCTAGTTCTATGTTTTTCCCTTGCTCTGAGACATATTTTCTATCTTTTCTGCATGACTCTTAAGTTTTGGTTGGATGCCAGACATTGTCAATTTTACATTGTCAAGATGCTGATTTTTTTTTTTTAATTTCTTAGAATATTCTCAGGCTTTGTTCTGGAATGCAATCAAGTTACTCAAAAATAGTTTTATCCTTTTGGGGCTTGCTTTGGTGGGTGGGACCAGTCTTTAGGCCGGAGATAATTTTTTTCCCCATTAGTGAAGTAAGAGCCCTGTTTTAGTATCCTACCTATTGCCCAGGTATTTATTACAGGGTTGTCAGCTGTGGTGGATGGGTACACAAACACTTCCCAGCTACATATGAACTTCAAGGAATTAATCTGCCTTTGCTTTTCTGGTGTGTGTGTGTGTGTGTTTTTTTTTTTCCTCCAGCCTTGAGTAGTTTCCTTACATGCATGTAGCTAAAAATTCATGGATAACCCTGTGCAGATTGCCAGAGCTTTCTCTCTTTTTGTGCAGCTCTTTCCTCTTCCTGCAGCTTTCTCTCTTTGGTACTGTCCTCTGTGAATCCTACTGCCTTAGCCTTCCTGAATTTATGACTTTGTCCCTAGTGGGAGCGGTGTGGGTTTCCTCTCTCTGTGCTGTATCCTGGAACCCCCAGACAGGCTGAAGCAATCACAGGGCTTACCTTGCCTGTTTTCTTTCTGTCAGGGATCACTGTCTTGCATTGCCTCTTCCTTCATATCTGCAAAACATTGTTTCATATATATTATGTCCTGTTTTTTAGTTGTTTTCAGTGGTAGGGTAAACACAGTCCCTGTTATTCTATCATGTCTTACAGCAGAAGTCCCTCCAGAAACTGATTTTAAAACCAACATTTTGTGTAAATAATTGTGTCAGTTATCTATTGCTGCCTAACAAATGTTCCTAAAATTGAGTGGCTTAAAACAACCACCACTTATTTGCTCATGATTTTGTGTTGATAATTTGGCTGGGTTATACAGGGTAGTTCTTACATTCTACATGGAGTCAGGTAGGCTCACTGTTGTGTTCGCAGTCATTTGACAGGTCAGCCGGGGACTGGCTGGTCCAAGAAGGCCTCAGTCACATAGCTGGCAGATGGTGGTGGCTTTTAGTGGAGCCCCTCTCTGTGACCTCCTACCCTCTTGAACACTAAACCAGTTTTCTTTACTTGGTGACAGAAGCATGCCAAGATGCTGAAAGCTGATGTGGCAAGGTTGCTTAAGGCCTACCCTTGGAAGTCACACAACATCACTTCTGTCTCAGGCTATTAGTTAAGGGAACTCATGAGCCCCACTTAGGTTTTGGTGTGGGGAAATAGACTACGTTTAATTGTTGGAAAGGGCAGTGAATTCACAGTGAAGAAGCACAGACACAAAGAATTGCAGTTCTTTGTAGTAGATTGTCATAGTAACTAGTCAACAAAACCCTCACTTAATGGCATTG